CTCTATGTGGCATGTGCCGCCGTCCATTTCCATCACATGTCCCTGCTTCCATCACTGTTCTTTCATTTTAAGATATTAACTATCGCAGAACAGAAACCAACAAATATTTGAGAAACTAGAACCAGAGAGTTTTAGCATGTATTCGTTAAAAGCGATTAAAAAATGATTAATTGATGGTCAAAATTGTTGCGTGTGACATTTCTGTCGATTAACTGATCATAAACAATATACATGTGTAGCTCACACACTTTCTAAGGTTAGGTATAAAAGGACAAGCTACAGTTTATAGATTAGCGAAAGTAACGAGACTCGGAGCCACAGCTGACGATACAGTAATCGAAATATTCCCATGATCCCCTGAGTGCGGACCTCAGGCAGAGGCAGTGTCACAGTAGTGACAGGATGTGATTAAAATAAACAACAGTGATTATCTATGGCAGGAATCTGCACAAAAAGAACATTCTTATGAGATGATTTGACAAATCTCTGTCTATACTGGGGCAGGGTGGATATTAATAGAGAAGAGGTTGCAAAGTGGCTGTAAATCACAGGGGAGAGCGAGTATGTCTCTAAGAGCTGTCTCATGCTAGAAGATCAGAGCAGGAAGTGACTCTGCCGTCCTATTTTGTAGCTTCATACCAAAACAATTCATTGGAAATCAAACTTCTCCTCTTGTGCTGCTCTCACGCGTCATTGCACAAACTGCGTGGTTCCTCGCCGCGCTATCTGTTGTTCACCGCAGGTATTTTAAAATCGGGGGGGGCGTTTTATAGCTCTGCCGCTCATTGGGGTTTTTGTGCTCCTAAACTGCAGGTTGTAAATGGCTAACAAGTGAGGCTGAGTGACAGACGGGGAGTTAGACAGATGGCTGCTACGGAACAAAGCTGGCCTTCAGCTTTACGAGAGCTTCCTGTCCCGTCATCCCTCAGTTCAACACGACAGCCACTCGGTGACTTGCAGCTCCTGCTGTTTCGGTGTGTGCTGTAGTTCTTTCATTCTTCAGATCAATTGTGCTCTTCAAAAAGAAAAGAAAAAAGAATTCAAGTTGTTCTCAGTTTGACAACATTGGGTGTTAAGAGGAAACACTTTTAAGTTGAATAGAGGTTTATGTGGCGTCTTACATCAGTGTTGAAATGATAAATGGTGGCTGAGAAGTGTCCATTGCTGCTGCTTGCATCATGTCTAAAAAAAAAAAAAAAAAAATCTGGGTCTAAGTCTCCATCTGTTATCAGTTTAATATAGCTGTTTAAAGTGATTATTTGCCTGCTATTATTTATTATATATTATATAAACAAAAGACGGATGACCAGCATAAAGAAGGGGCGCAATGGAAATTGGTCAAATAATGTTTTTCCTTTAATAAACAAGAAAACATTTACAAACAAAATTTTTTATTACAATACAAAAAGATCACTAATTTTTAAAAATGATTTCTGCTTCAAACTGTATTTATTTAATAATTATGTATACTTTAAACTGCTTTAAACTGTATAAATAGGAGGAACTGTATCAACATCTATATTATATAGTAGTTCTTCGTAGTTGTAAATGCTCAGTCCGTGCACACAGACAAAGTGGTGTCTACAGGGCGACGACTGAGTCATGAGGTTTTTTTCAGCACTGTGAGGTCATTGTTTTGTGGCTTTTTTGTAAAATATTTTCAGGGTTGAGTTCAACTTAGTGTTGACCCGCTCGCTAAAGCACGATGCAGATCAGGCAGCAGCACAAATAAAGCATTGATGGGGGAAACCTTGAGGTACTGGTGGGCGATCTGATGATCTCATATCGTGGCCGATCTTACTTAGGCTTATAATCTACTCTTCGGATGTCATTAAAAGGTGCTTTATTTAGATATTTAATTTTCAGTTCAATTTCTGCTAACCAGCAGGCGACGGCAGTCTTTGTTCACAACTTCCGGTTAGGACTTTCACAATAAAGAAGAGAGCGGAAACATAATGAGATTGTGATTCACATTGTGGATTTTGATTCTACCCAAAAAGATAGTCAGATGATCGTTAGGCCAGACCGCCCACCCCCTGCCTTCAGGAGGGAAAAAAAGCAAGAGTGGTTGAGATTCGCACCTCTGGACGAAGTGGGATCTACTCAAGATTAAAATAACGTGGATGGAGCAATGGAGATGAGAGCTGTTCTGCACTATTGAACTCTCTCCTTGTCAGCACAACTGCACACATGGGATCTGAGGAGATCCCATGTGTAAGTGACACTGGTACATTATCACACCTTCTGTCAATGTGCAAAACCATTTTAACTCGAGGTCGATTGTAGGTGCTGCTGCGCTCTTTGCTGTCTTTTGCTAACACAAGAGTAAAAGACAGAAAAAAGTCTGTAAAGATGCAGGTAGAGCAGTCAGCTTTGTTTCAGGAGGGAGTCAGACCTGTTACGACCACGAGGCCAAAATCCAGCCCGCTAAAAATGACGCACAGGTCCTGAGATATAGGAGGTTCGTCCTGCTGTGGTCCTCGGTAGATAAGAAAAACATTCTGGTGGAAATTATAGTCCTGTGGATGGACGGGTGCCAAGAAGACTGGCCATTCCCCATATAATTCTACTGCAAAGGCTTCCCAGCAGCAGCAGTATAACAATTTATGACAGCTTCAGACGATGACAGAAAGGCCACGAAGCAAAAATAGCCTATGGGACGGATGAAGAGTAGGTTAGTGGAGGGTAGCTGGAAGTCAGGGGCAAAAAGGCAGTAATTTGGCCACCGCCGCTGACCCGGAACCGGAGGGTGTTACGGTTGAGCATTGAAACAGGTTATGCATGTTCTCTGACGACACCTGCTCCTGACTAAAGGCTACAGTTACCTCATGGGGTGCAATAAAAGAACACACACCACCGTGCATAAACTGAAATAATGAACGTTTTTCACGACCCCTGAAGACGGTAAAAAGCCACGTGTGTCTGTCTATCCTCTCTGGAGTGCACGCACTGCAAACCGAGGTCACACTCTGAGTCCCGTTTACAGATGCAGGTAAAATCCTCATCTCTGTGAAAATGTCAGATCAAGGTCACATTGTGGTTTGCAAATAGCTCTCAACATTTGAATGTAGTGGGCTGCAAGGAGTTCCAGTTGATTAATGTTGCCATGGCATCAAGGAAATTGTCAGTCGCAGAGAAATGACCTGATTTCACACAAATTATTTTACTGTGATAGTCTGGGAAGTATTCCTGCACTTGGTTGTGTTTTGCACCAAGTTGCTCACGGTTCCCAGGCTCATTCAAGGCCGCAGAGACAGCTGTGGCGTCTGGGAGAGCAGCAGGGTGATTATTCTTTGGGGGTGTATTAGAATGGAAAACTAGATCTGGAAGATTTGGTTGAGAGTTATCCCCAATTAATCTGTGCTGTGCAAACGAGGAAATTGAGGTGAACACCGGCAAACTCGCGCCGCTCCCTCGTAGCTCCCAGAGCTACAGAATAATAGCGAGGATGACAACCTTGGGCTTAATTAGCGAAAGAAATATGCAGCGTTTATCAACACATAGTTGACTTGTAAGTTTAAAGTTCTTTAATTCATAGGAGCTCTGAAGGCATTTTAAGGCTCTCCAGTGTAGATGTGCAATTCCACATCTACCTGTAGGGAGGATATAGTAATGTTTTTCCACACCAGTGACTTGAGGATTATTTCACTGGGAGAGTTTTTGCTTGCAAATTTCCCTGTTGGATCCAGGATTTGTTGAGGAGTACAAATTCTCTTCTCCCTCCCGACTGGAGTTTCAAAGCTTTCACAGTCTGTCTGCTGCTTTGCATTTTCAGCCGTGCACTGATGAGACCATCCTGCAAGTGTGTTGCAGTCTGCCATAGTGTCCTGTTTGTTTGTAAGTTTGTTTTCATTTTTTTAATGTTTGTTGGAAAGGACTGCCCACCTCCACTATCAAACACAAACACTGTTGTTTGCCTAAATGGCAGATGTGGCTGAAGAGCACAGGGGGCTGTGAGGGGGAACAGTATTTTTCATTAGATGTTGCTGGAAGTCATGGGTTGTGCAATCCCTCTGAAGTAACCTTCTTGAATTAATGATTTAACTGGTGTAGTGCCTGTTCAAAATGTGCCTTTCGGTCATGGCTGATTGCTCCGCCTGCGTTGGTGAAGTCTCGGCATGCAAAATTGCCCGTTACAGAAACACATCCAACGTACAGCGGTACGGAGCCTCCCCGGGGGGGCCGGCAGGGGAAAGAAGACGTGTGAAAATGTGTAGGCGCTGGGTTTAGAAATCTGTGCCTTTTTGGATCCATGTGTTCAAATGACTCGAGTACAGTAAATATGAAGTTACACAGTGAAAGCTGTGAAATGCGCAACACAATATACTGTAGCATGAAATATTACCCTGAAATCTTGCGCTCACATGTCTTGGTTTGCATGTGAAAAGCTCAGTAAATACAATCCCGGCATGTGCGTTGTAAATCGTGTGCAGTGTATCGTCAGAGTGTACTTCCACCTTTGCGACGCGCTGTTGTTGTAATCGACGGCGGTGACGTGGATGTGCCGCCGTAGCGCTAACCGGCTGTCGCGTAAAGCTTCTCGAGAACTGATCATCTGGAAAACTTGATTCCTCAATGTATAGTGAGATGAGGATGCAGTCTGTGGGAGCCTGAGCTGTTAGTGAAGGTGTGTGACTTACCTGTGACTCTGGCTTATTTCTTTTTGGACAGTCTGTTTTGTGAGGAATGCAGATCTCTTCCCCCTCTATCCGTATATTTCTTATTTCTATTTGAAGGTTGTGCGGACCAGTTGATACAAACACAGTAGAGAAAGACATGAAAGGAAACACACACTGTGCTGGTGGTCCAGAAAAACATCCAAGGCGCTCATAAGAAAAAAAAACCCCGACTCCAAAAGACAGAAAAGATGAAAGAAAAAAACATGAACCGACTCACAGTGTCACAAATGAAGTGAAAGAGATCGGCACAAATCCATCAGCGTGTCTGTACAACAACCTGAACATTTGTTTGGTGTTATATCTGCTCTCTTGTTTTCCCAGAATGCCGAGGTGTCCGTGTTTGAGGTCAACATTCGTTTCATAGGAGGACTGCTGGCCGCCTACTACCTCTCTGGACAGGAAGTAAGTGCTCGCCTACTGTGTGTGTGTGTGTGTGTGTGTGTGTGTGTGTGTGTGTGTGTGTGTGTGTGTGTGTGTGTGTGTGTGTGTGTGTGTGTGTGTGTGTGAGC